TGTATTTGCTTTAAGATTTGGACCCAGTTTTAGACAGATGCAGCATTCGTGTTTCTAAGAACAAAGTTGTCTTTGAAACACCGAGATGCATAATACTTATCGAGGTATTATCCATTGAATGGAGACATATAAATATAACGCATTCTTTAAGGTACTATCAGAATTATATTATGTCAAGCACACATAAAGATGTGTTACTTCTAAGGACGTCACAGCTCAAGAGGCTGCAACCTTGTACCGTCGTTGTAGTAGATGTAGTTTCCTCATCACTGATTTGTGTAAAGATTGTCCACATTGTTCTGAGGAATCGTTTTGACGTTCTTGAATTGATGTCGATGTGGAACCTTTTGGGCATTGAAAGATACGACTTCATGTAGAATTTTCATTAATTTGCTAATAACATAGCCATTTACTTTAATTCTCTCTTCCTGGGCCTAAGCAAATCTCAGAGAATTTGCTCGTGTGAGTAAAACATTTTTCGTTTACCGAAGATATTTCTGAGTCAATTAACAGCCGACCAAAAGACACAAGATCACTTAAATTTTTCCTAAATATAATATCAGAAAAATTTTCTTAAGAGAGCTTTCAAATTTTATTAATTAAGAGAGAACTCAAACAATAATTTTTGATTTTATGCTCACCTCAAGCTTCTTCTCATGGAGGCCTTTTTTTTTTCTTTTTTTTCTCTTCTCGTTCAAATTTTTTTTTACTCCCATTTTTTTATTGAGAATTACTATATATGGTGGAACATATTTTAAAGATTTTGAATGTCTAAACTCCCTTGATTAACAATTCTCAAATATTTTTTTAAGACAAATCCTGAGATATCATAATCCATTCGAAAGCTAGGACCCAGTCACTTGGCAGAAGATTAAAAGGCTCATGATAATCCATAGTCAATTACTCATATTATAATCACACTATTTTATTTTAGAATTTACTTAGGATCCAGTCCAAAAATCTTTAAAGTGAAGGACCTAGTTATTAGGGTCTTAATTTCATCTTCTTCTGAAATCATAGTTTCTTTCACAATACTGGAATTTTTATTTTGAATTACTCCTTTCTCGATTGTCCTGTTGATGAACTTTGAATGTTTTGTTAATCATGCTTTTCAAATATTGAACAATTCTAAAAAACAACAAGTTCTTTCATTACTTTATTGCGGTGGGAGAGAAGGGACAGACAAACATTGATACCACTAACATCCCTTTCGACAACAAAAGTAGTACAATAGTAATTAAAAAACGTTTCATCCTTTGCTAGCTGCTTCGAAGTCAATTAGAACATTTGGATCGACCGAAATCATATTGATAGAACCTCTTTCAGATTCTTTTCAAATACTCTTCCAGGATCACTATGCTCCCACTCTTGAATTTCTCCTCAAGCCAATCTTTAAAAGTGAAACATTCTTTTATGTTGTGTCTGATCAGCCTGTGATATGGGCAGTATCTCGGATGATCTTGTTCATCAACTTTATCTGGTTTTTTCGGTTCAGGGAGCTTGAACTCATGTTTCTTTATCAAATTCTGAAACATTTATTCGACTGTCTCATCCTTGAAAGAATATATATTTTGTTCAAACAATTCTTTATGTTTAGAAGTTTCCCTCCATCTGTTTGATAAGACCTCTGCTGAAACGATTGTTGACCATTGTGCCGAGGACGTTGGTAAATCTATCGAGAATGTTCGAATTGTATCTGCAACGGTCGCTTGCCCCTATCAACAGCTACTACTGTCCCAAATTTCTTCTCAGATGTCTTCAATGACTCTAGCTTCTCAGCTTTCTCAAAAAACCTAGTTGCTTAGCTTCTTCTTGAAGATTCTCAAATTTCCTAAGCAGCTTCTCGAATGTCTTGATGGTGAATCTCTTGAGTAAGAAACTCACTGTACCATGGATGCTCTTTAGCAGGATTTCGACTGCGCGCTGCTCGTGGAGTTGTGGCTCACATTTCATGCTCAAATTTCTCCATCGAAGAATGTAGTCCATCAATGTTTCGGTTGGCTTCTATCGCTACACCAAGAGATCACTGACGGTGATATGGTGTTTAACTCCAGCAAACCACTTAACAAAAAGGTCTTCCAATTCTGCAAATGTTTTTGTTGAGCCATTGGGCAGTTCAGCGTATCAATCAAAAGTGATTCCCGAAAAACTGCTCACAAATTGACGACATAACAACGCATCACTACCACCCGCATTACCACAACTTGCTCATAAGTGTGTAACATGTTGTCGGGGGTTTCATGATCCATCAAATGTCTTGAACGACGGTGGTACGAAACCCTTGGGGTATTGGATATTATCAAATTTTTCAGGATAGGGTCTACCCTTTAGAATCAATGCTCCTCCTTTTGACTGAGTCGAGGCTTCTCTCACCTGTTGTTCTACCATTTATTTAATGTCCTTTTTTGGTATTGATTCATGGACTGAGTTTTTCTTTAGTTGATCATCTTCATTGACCGAAGTGAATTCCTTCTTATCATCGACGATCTGGACGCTTTCTGGATGGCTTGCCCCTGGGGGTACTACCGTCGGTGACTGTGATTGTCTTTAAATAGTGGCTATAGCGATCGTCATTTCTTCTAGTTGTTCTTTCATCTGGTTGATCTGTTCATCACGTTGTTGAGTGACTCTTTGCAACTCATCTGCGGCGTTCTCCTCAATGGATAAAGGAGCATCGCACGAGAACAAGGTGGCTCTGGCATTAATGACGTCGATTTCTACAAATTCCTCTGTCTCATAATCTAATGGGTCGTAGGGTTCATCACCCATATCTTTTCTTCATTTTTCAGACAACCTTGTAATGTTGGATCAAAGTCTTTCCAACGTAGCCTCGATTGACCTTCCATTGACAACTTTAAGGTCAATTGGATATTTTTTATGAACTTCACCTCTTTTGTTGAGCACTGGTGTAGTTGTGTAGAAGTTTGTTGGAACAACTTGATCAACCAAAATCATATTAATAGAACCTCTTTCAGGCTCTGTCAAATATTCTTTCGAAATTATTATGTTCCCGTTTTTGAAATTCTTTCCAAGTCATTCTTTAAAGCTGATACAGTTCTCTATAGTATGTCCGAGCAATCTGTGGTAGGGGTAGTAGTTGGGATGGTCTTTCATGTCAACTTCCTCTTACCTCTTTGGCTCTCGTAATCTGAATTTGAGATTTTTAATCAATTCATGAAACATTTTTGCTTCAGCTTATTTTCTGAAAGAATATATTTTCTACACCGCTACCACTATCTCAGATTTTCCTTCGAATGTCGTCACCGGCCTTGGACCATTATGGAGAGATGGTGGTGGTGATGTGGTAGGAAACTCATAACCTCATAGACTATCCTCTCCGTAGGTAGCAAGCAACTGGTGAAACCTACTCCTCATGAGTAGAGGTGAGGTATCACGTAATCCTATCTCATCCAGTCAGAGGGTGATGTCAGTAGTAGTCAACTATGTGGCTTTCGCCTTCTCAGCCCTTAGATCTTTCTGGTTGCGCTTCATTTCCTGTGTTCTGGTCAGTTGCACGGACTTTGAATTGGACCCAATTTTGAATACAAAAAATGACGGGGCAAAAACATCGATTGGCACTTCTTCGTAAAGAACCTCCTTCCCTTTATTTAGTGGAACAGTTGGTGTAGTAGCAATGAATCGAATGGCAGAAGCAGAAACAGTCCTGCGAGCGGTCCTTGCACTCCTAGCGGCAGACTTTACAGCAATTGCATAATTCTTTTCAATCAACACCCTCTTCAGAGGGGGGACTTCATTAGCAGATTTGAGGTTGAACTCCACAACAGACTCGACGAACTTATCCGTTTCAGGTTTCATTATGGAAACACCGACATTCCCGAACTTGGCTTCAAAATCATTAAATCTTTGTCCAAACTTAATAATTGCCAAGTCGAGCAGCTCGCTCTTGTTAACAGCAAACTTCACTGCCGTAGCAAAAGAAAATATCAACTTTGGTGACGACATTATCTCTATCATTTGAAAAAAAAAAAAAATTCCGGAAGTCAGTGACGTCCAATGCCTTGCAATTTCCGTGGCAGTACTCGAATTAATGCACTTGTCTTATGAACAGGGCATCCTTTAAAATTTATTCATGTGAATTTTGTCACAAATTTTGTGGCTTTGAAATTTTGATGAAATTTCGTTTGTTTAGAGTTTAAAATGAAGATTGTGAGAGTGAAATTTTAGTATTAACTCATTCACAACAAGTTAAGATCAAAGAGGAATGAAGCATATGATCCGGTTTAAGAATTTGAGGGTGTCGGCCTCGCATTGGATTCGTTTCGATGGACCACTCCTAATCTACCACCTATTGGGAGTCCAACCCACTAAACCTTAGGGATTCCTGAACCCTTTTGCTTAAGGATGGTTAAGCAGACAGTCCTGGAATCCAAGAAGAGTTGACTATACTGGCTTAAAGAAGAAATAAGCACGGTATATCAACAGAAAAACAACAATCTGGCCCACGAGGGACATGGGCACACTACCGATGTATGAAAAAAAAAACATGATCAAAGATGGAGAGAGGAACTAGTCCCCAGCAGAGTCGCCAGAATTTGTCGGCCGTTATTTTTTGGAAAAGGATGATTTTTTGACAACTTTTATGATTGTTGTCGACTACCTAACGCAACACTTCACTTTTCACATCCGGGACTTGGGACTCAACAATGACAATGTTATAAAAAATGAACTCAACATCACATTTTTTTATCATTCTATAAAGTCCCTAATTAATATTCTCATTAAGCTCTCCAAAGTTAAGTAATTGACTTAATTGCTTCATTTTCTCATCAAAAAGAAATGAACAAACAATTTTAACATAAATTTTTTTATTTCAAAAGAAAAAAATGAGTGAATCAAACTGCAATAAGATTTTAAGCAAAATTCTTAACATGTTAAAGAATATAATAGTCATTGAAAGCTACAAAAGAATAATAAAAGTTGCAAGGTTTATGATAATGCAATTTTAGAAAACTTGAGGAAAAATTTTCAAAAGGCCAAACCTTTGGAACAGCGTATGGAGCTATTGCCCCAAGAACAGAATGAACTTGCTCACAGGCATAAAACACATTATTAGGTTGATGGAGCTCCTTGTCCAATGTGGACGCTATCCAAGAAAATTCATGGATGTTCTTCATAAAAGAAGAAACACTTAGTTCCTTTGCACCATCAGTTTCAGAGATGATAAAACTCTTAGCATAAACACCGTAGCCATCATCCCACATTTTATCGAGAACTTCAAGAAGATAAATACACTTTGTCCTTAAGTTTTTAGTGGAAAAAATAGACAATAGATTAACCAACTCAGGAGACTCCCAGTCCTTGACATATGAGGTAGCGGAATCAAAGCTCCCAATGCTCATTTTACCCTCACAGAGAAAATCTTTTACATCCTTATTGGCGAAGTTGACTTGCACGAAATCCGTTACTCCTAAATCAAGGAAGAAAGCCCGCCATTTCGTCAATCCTGATGATAATGAAAGCGTAGAAGGATGCTTCAGGTACGAAGGATCGACTTCGATCCACTTGACATCAACTGCATCAAAAAGAGCAACTACATCTACAGGATTCCCATACTCCCTTCCGAAGTGTATAGGTTCCATAGATGGACATTTGCAACCATGATTTGTTAGTAATAGAGGCATTTTTCGTAACTCCGTTATTATTTCTACTCTTTCAGAGCGACAACTTGCACAATCACTTTGCAGGTGAAGCATTATAAATGATAAATATTCAATCATTAAATCTCTATCTTCAGAAGCATGCTTATTTGACAAAGCAACCAAAATGTGACTTTTCATAACTTCATGAGCTGCTAGTTGTTGAGCACCAATTTTAAGCAGCATCTGCATGACATTGTCAGCTTTCATCTCTCTCAAGCTGTAAGCATTTTTTGTTGATACGGAAAAAAGTTGAGGAGTTACAATTTGAAGTTTCTTATACAAAAAAGAAAACTCTGCGGGATGATATTCACCGTCGGATCCTATGTTCAGTACATCACAAGGTAACCATATTGAACCATCGGCCACACAACCATAGGAGCCATCAGAAAGCGGAATGAATGGGATATTTTTAAGATCATTGACTATATCATCTTCAAGCTCAGCAAATGAGGAATGCTGAGACAAATTCATTGAAAGTGATGAATAAACTGCTGCAAGCCAGGCTGCAAGCCAATCTACGCCAAGAGACTTGAGGTCTTCTGGGGAGTGGCAAACTGATTCCATAACCTCCACCAAGATTTTGGGTCCATAGTCTCGAATGCCAAGGGTCGCTGCAAGAGTATCAGACAACTTGACGTCCTTATGCAAGTAAACCAGTCCTAGGTGATTCTGGAGTAATTCGGTAGAGAGAAGTAAGCGAGATTCCTCATTCCAACCACGTAGAACTCTACATGGAAGGACCCAGGTCAAATCAACGCTGTCCTGAAGCAGGCAGTTTGATATGCGCAATAAGGAAATAATCATTTGAGGGAGTTGAGAGAAGAATCCATGAACCTCCCCAACAAATGGAACAAAGCTCATATAAATTGTCACAGCTTTTCCGGGGTTCTCCAGAAAGCAGGGAAGTGAACAGAACGATTGCTCTGCACTAAGAAATAAAGAAGGAAATTCTGACAATAACCACTGGTTCCATGCGCTATCACCATCTACCTCTTCCCTTGAAGAAGGCAAGACAAAATCCCCTTGAAGAATAAATCTCAACCCATAATTTCTTAAAGGAAGAAAAGAAAAAACAGGCTGGTTTCTCAGAATTGGCCTGTATTCTCCATACTCTGACTCCTGCAATGTGAAGGCAAGAGAAATGTCTGTTGCTTCCACATCAGTACGAATAACAGAAGGCCTTAACTTTTTGCTAGTTACCAGCCAACTCATAACCTCTTCGCCATGAGAAATCTTAACAATGCCATCCTGAAGAGTATTTTTTCTCATCACAATAAGCCTATCACTAAGCGAATTTCTGAACTTTATACATCGAAGACGGTGTAGGAATAATAATAAGGAGGGATGAAGATCTGAAAACATTGAGATAATGGAACTCACACCACCTCCTACTTTACTATGAGAACTTTGGGATCTAAATGGAAGAACGATACAAGTGTTCCATGCCATGTTGTTACCTTGATAGCTATCATCACATAAGTATTGCTTAAAGGTATCAGCATCAGGAGGGGGTATGACTGTTGGCAAAACAAAACCAATCTGTCCCTCAGTAATATCAAACTTCACATGAAATCCATTAGAATGGATCTCTGGAGAGTCAGTGACCTGAAAAATTGAGTATTTAGGTAGCTGATTATATTACCACAGAAATTTGTAATATCGCCAAAAAACTAAACTAGTGTAGCATGAATTACCATTGTATGAATAAAAATGTTATGATCCAACATTTAAGAAAAAAGGATGTGAGAGAAATAATTCAAATTAAAGAAAATTGATCATTTACAATGAAGAATGGAAATGTAGGAAAAGAGAAAAAAAAGAATTCTACTGCATAAATAACAAATCAGTCCAAAGATAACAAGCAGAGGAATCCATAGAAAGAATACACATCACAGATGGAAGCAGAATTTATGGAACTCATCATTATCATATGCAATGTTAATACTGCAAAAAGAATTTTATCACTTAATTTTTTTTGTTTTACTCATACTAATAGTTACATTCAGTGCTAGTTCAAGCTTAAGAACTTCGACAGACAAGAAAGGTATCATCAAGGTGCCAAAAACCAAAAATAGATGCCACATTTCAAGTGATGCGCTCTCATTTCTCATGTAAAGCGTTAATTTTCATGCAAAATGGATGTTTCTTGGCTGGAAATTTAATCCACAACTTAATGCCTATTGGTAACAAATTTTAGTTTTTTTAATCAATTAAAAATATAATAAAAACAAAGTAAATGCTAAAAACACATTTCAGGTGTTCTATGATTTCCAAAGCAAGCTTTCGGTATACTAGAAGCACAAGAATTTGAACTTCAGCCGTTGGAAAAAAAGATTCAGTAGCCAGCAGGTCAAGCATGCTCTGAAAATAAGGGGTGGATATCCATATATAGAAAATTAAAGAAAGAAAACGAATATTATTAGTAGATCCATGCAGAAATATAAAATATTGCACTCATAAGCATAAAGTGTACAATATAATCAGAATTATTAAAACAAATTTTATGAATCACAAAATAACTGAAACAACCATATAAATTCAAACTATAACATAAATGCTGGATATGCAGATACAAGTACATATTATCATTTAGTTTAAAAACATAAATTTCATTAAATTCAAAATAGTTCTTCTATTTTGTATATAAGATACATCAAAGATTGCTGTTACCGTGCTCGTGACTGCAGAAGCATATGGGTGTTTAGTGACATTGATACATTTATAAATATAACATTTGGTTATTATGCAGAACACCTCCAAAAATATGAGCATGTGGATGCATTGATATTTCTAACTATCTAAATTGAACTGTGTTTTAACCATGATTATGTTATTTTATTTTAATTTTACAATTTGAAAGCAATAACATGATAAAAAGCAAACATGTTTTCATTTCAGATTATAACTTGAATAAAATAAATTAAAAAAAACAGAGAAATAAAAATAAAAACGGCCCCAAACAATAATCTCTACAGAAGTTATGCTCCACTTTCAACGAAGAACTGAAAGAACAATTTAAACACCCTAATAAATTGTTTCTTCACTTTCCTATGATTGTTTCCTTATTAGAAATAAGGCGCTGCTTGCTTCTCTTTGTTCAGATTTTGATGGCATCGGTTCCCTTTTTCTTCAGCTTTTGTTGCCCCTAAACACTAGGATTTGATGGTCTCAAAGTTCCAAGTATTGAGCAGATGAATTTGGAGAATAACGAGCATTTTTATGTGGATGGCAGAGCAGTTTTCAGATGCAGATTGGCTTCTTGATGGAATTGAATGGCTTGGAGTTACTAACACGGTGCATAACCCCTTCTGAATTTTAACTCAATAGTTCATAGCGATGGAGCAGTGGATCATGGAGGGCTTGGAGTATATCTCTCTGTGGTTTCAATTTCATGATTTTATTTTTTTTTTCATTTACTGTAAGCAGACTATCCAGAACTATTTGAACTATGTATAGTTTGATCCTTTCGCAAAGGGATCTCAGACAGCAAGTTTGGGTGTTAGGTTTTAATGCACATGGATTCTATCTTAAAGTTTTCCAATTAATAGACAACAAGAGCAAAATAAAAAAATCTAAATCTCTAATCCTAAATTCACAGCCCCCTTGAACATCATTAAATCCCAACAATCCAGAAGTCCCTAAAAACACCTAAAATCATCAAGTCCCTCTAAGAGCAAAATGTATAATCTAAAATCCCTAATCCAGAGAATCACTTTTCCAGATACATTAATCCATATCTCCCCATTAAATTCCAAATTTTCCAACCTCCATAATTTCTATAAATAAAAAAAATTTGTAAACCCTAAGCTTCTGAAAATTCATTGAAACTATCCATAATCACAAAAGCATCACTCCGCTCCATCACATATTTGCAAAAAGCGACTCTAGCATCTCCATCCTATCTTTGTGATTGTTGCTCACAAGTGTGGGCGACCCTACTGGCTTCTTGTCCGTGCGACTTCATAAACTAGCATCCAAGCATCCAAATATGTAGGGTGATTGCCAAAAAGTTGGGTACGTGTAACAAATTGTTGTTGCGCCCATTCCTAGCATCAGCATTCACAGCTGGCGCGCCATATAGGGCTACTACCCTACAAACCATTTTTCCTACCATCCGCTTCTATTCTCTTCGGCCATCTCTCATATTTCCTTGTTCAAAAGCAATGTTGCTATCATCATTTTTTCCATGAACTCTATCAATAAGTTGATGCTCAAATTACCTCTCTCTGCACATGACTCACGCTCGTCCACCCCACACAAGCAGCCCCTAAGGTCTAGATTGATTGTTGGTCAACTTTTTATCATCATTTTTTAATACTTCACGCTCGTCCACCCTAAACCCTAAGCAGCCCCAGCGGAGTCGCCAGAAATTGTCGGTCAACTTTTTCGATTTCGATTTATGTGAAAAATTTTGAAATGTACTTTTATAGTTTTGAAAAGTAGATGATTTAATTTAACCTAAAAGGTATATAATTTTATGAAAATAGTGTATTTTAATTTTGAAAAATGAGACCGACTAGATCTCATTTGCCCAATAAATTTGTATAATTGTGCCCGGTACCACAAATGATACACCTTCTCGAAAGATAAGTGTACTCCGCGGAGGTGGACCCAATTATACAAACTACGAGGTTTGTGACATCCATTTGGTCTGCGAACTTTTTATATTTGACCGACAAATTCCCCTATTTAATACAAAGATTAAATAGGGTTTATTTTATCTTGATTCCAAGTTCCCTATAGAAGCAAACCCCTATAGTTAATTACATCCCAAGTGACGGGAATCACTTAAGAAAAGTCTCGATAATGATCAGTGGTTCTAGTCTTCAAGAATTCAAAGTTCAGGTTTTTAAGATAGGACGTGGAAAAACAAGTGGGAATGACTCAAGTAAGAAAAATCTTTTCAGAAGTCCAAAGGAAGTAAAAGGTAGGGGATGTCACAGATCCAGAGGGAAATCCTCAGTGACCTCCCAAACTATCCTACTGTGTGGCTGGGGTTTAAGGAGGGATTTTTTTTTATGTGTTAAATCCTGTCAATTTTATTAGTTGGGACTTATACCTCCATAATAATTGGTTATGCAAATAACCCGCGAGATAAGAGGTTTTATGTCACTCTAGATGACAATCTCGGAACCTAAGGCGAGTTAGGACTTACGTTGCACAACATGGTTATGCAGGGGCCTAAAAGAGAGAGGAATTATGTCGCGCTCTAGGCGAGCTAAGCGAGCTACCTCGAAATCATATGGGTTGTTTAAACTAGGAAAGTTCAGTTGGTGTAGACTCATTTTGCTGTTGTAGAATTGTGACCACCTCCACCTGTAGTTCGCTCCAAACTCCTTGTCGTGCTGCCCACGAAGTTGCTTCGAGCTCCTCGTCGCAGTAACAGTCCTAAAGTCTAAAGCTCAAACAGTTTTATCAGGTGTGTTTTCAATGTCTCAGTTTGGTTGTTAATGGAGGGGGTTCAAGTTGATTAGAGCGACACCGATTAGGATCTCACGGTTCCCTCCTTCCGGCATCACTATTTTCTTCCGGCATCACTTAGTTTAAACGAGTTGTGAAACCCATTTAAACCGGGGAGATCTCGTTAGCAACGTGAAACCCATTTAAACCGGGGAGATCTCGTTAGCAACCCTCCGAGGGACTCCCGTAAGGACTCCCGTAAGTTCGAAAGAACGTATTATGTTATGTTTTTTTTTTTAAAAGTTGTTTAATTTTGAAAAAATCATTTTGTATTGAAAATGAGATTGTATTCAGTACCTGCATAATGTGTTAGAGCAAGAGTAATTGCAATAAAATAAAGGAACAACAACATATAAAATTTACATGCGTACGTGACGTATCTACGGCTGCTATTTCTGTTGCATGTTTAACTCACAAAGCACACTATAATTTGCAGGGAATTTAAATAAATTGCAAAGAAACGAAAAGAAATAAACATTAGAACAAGTTGTAGTAACGGTTAGGAATTGATCCTAAGGCCTCCTACAACTTCTGACTACAATTAGCGAGCTAATATGGTGATCCTACGATCTCCTACGGCTCTGGGAAGCAACTAGCAAGTGTGTACGGTGATCCTACGACTCCGGACAGCAGCTAGGAATTTCGAATAATGTCTGTATGATGATGTATGAGTTCCTATAAACCCAAACAACAACGGGCCACACCTATGTGGTTTCCTACGAACCCGAACAGAGGTTGACAACAACTTGATGGACAGCTACTAGGTGGCTTTCTATGAACCCAAATCGTGGCTTCCTACGAACCTAAACAGTGGTGGGCAGCAAATTGAAGCATTGGACAACGGTCCTGCAGTTCTTACAGCTCGGGACAGCAACTAGCAGGCTTGTGTGACGATCCTACGACCTTCTACAACTTCCAAACACTCCTAACAGTCTTTGATTAGCAATGGGCAGCAATCTTATATCTCAAACAGCTTCCAAACGACAAATTCAAGGCCCAACCAGCACTCCCAAGGATTTTCTAAGCTTCCAACAGCACTCCTAAGGCTCCAACAGCGCTCCTAATCATTGAATTCAGCACCTCGCAGCATTCTTACAGCACTTCTGGCACATAAACTATCAATTTCAGCGCCTCGCAGCACTCCT